AAATTGTTGCTGATTAGCAGTAGTGTATGTAGCTATTTACAATACCAATAAATTAATATGAATTCATGTAAATTATTTACTTTTTAAGCCTAAATTATTTATCGATGGTGCGCAATCTACTGCTCCCTGTTGGAGAACAACTCAGATGACGGGTTCACTAGTTGGGCTAGCCGAGCTACAAGAAAACTGTTAGAGTACCTAGGGTAGGCATTCCAATGCTTAAGTTAGTGATGAGTGTATTGAGAGAGTTGGAAAGTGAGAAATCAAGAGAGTCGTGGGAGCTAAATTGCGCGTACCTTGTCCGGTTGATGGGATGCCTTTATATAGGTGTAGGTAGTCATAAACTTCATGTAGTGCGTCCGAGATCTCTTGGAGAACATGACTTACCGGCCCACCTCACTTGGAGGTAGTTTCATGCTCGGAGTCAGTTTCCGCATAAAGCGATAGAGCATATCCGGTTACCTTTGAAGTGGGCGGGCGTGAGCCAACCCCATTGGTGAAGCGATGTGATTTCGAAGGATTCATAGATGATAAGTTGCACAAAGTGGAGGCCGGTTGCCATTCATGCCTTAGTTGGGTCAATGGGACCTTAGGGGGAGGTCGCCCCTCATGCCAAGGTCTTTGGATCAGTCTTGAGATCGCCGACCTGATCCCCCAAGGTATCTACAGGATGGCCCTATGCCAAGGTAGCGCCGAAACACTCAAGGGTCTACGAAGTGTATCCGAGGTGGATTCCATCATTTTGGCAAAATCAAGTCACTGCCTATGTGGAAAGAGGTGTTATGCAACGGTTCGGAAGTGCTACATGGCATGATGTCACTAAAGGGCCAAATTATCCCTCATCAATTACTATTAGTCAAAGTAAATGTAATAATAGTAAATTAATGTAATTATGGTAAATTATTTAATTTTAATTAAAAGTAAACCATTTGTTGTTAATTAATGTAAAACCAAATATGATCAAAGTCAACCAAGCGGCCTAGACTGGTGTTGATAGATTGAATAATTTTCCTAAATTGTTTAATAATTATTTATTGAAATAAAAATAATGGATTGTTATTTAAATAATTATGAAACAATTTTTGATAGATTAATTTCCTAATGTAATTTTCCTAAACTTTTTAATAATTATTTAGTTAAATAATAATAGTGGATTATTATTTAAATAGTTTTGGAGAGTATTTTTTTTTGTAGATTAATTTCCTAATTTTTTTTAATTATTATTTATTTAAAAGATACTTATGGATTAGTAGTTAAAGAGTTTCCCTAAGTTATTTGACAATTGCTAACTATAATTATTGATTTTATAGAAATTAGTAAATTATTCTAACTAGTAATATATTTTATCAATAAATAATTATTTTAAAATTTTAAAAAATGTTAAATTACAATGATTAATGTAATTGCACTAAATGTGAAATTTGAACATTTATTAATTAACAAAAAATTATTAAATAATGGATTGTTTATTAATTTTTGGTAGATTATTTTATAAAATTATTTAATTTTTTAAAATAATGGATTATTTCTGAAAAAAAATATTTCATAATTTTTGGTAGATTATTTTCTAAAAATTTTCAATAATTTTCATAACTAGTGGATTATTTAACAATAGATTATTATTTAAGAGAGTAAATTATTATTTGCTAAATAATTACTGAATTACTATTTAATAATCATTGATTTACTATTACTAATTACTAAAATACTAAACATGTGCTGAAATTACTAAAATACAAAACGTGTGCTGAAGTTAGTGATTTTCATTTGAAGTTGGTGAAGTTAATTAAAAACTAATTATTAACACCAGCCCGTGCATTCACATGGTCTCCTTTTTTTTTCAAATATTGGGTGGGATCTTGGCTGTTGTATCCATGACGTGACGAATAAATCACATTCTTAACCTGGTTTTACTCCAATGGTAGTTCAAGCAAAGTGCGACACTAGTAGTGTCAACAGTATTCGAAAATTTGAATTTGAATTCGATATTCAAAATAATCATATTGAATTTGGATAAGTCGGATATCTAATTGGTCGAATTTGGATATTTTATTCATATCGAATAGTTAATTGGATTCGAATTCAGATATGACAGTTCAATAAATCTGAATTCGACCAATTATTTAATTGTTATATATAATATATAAAATATTTAAATGTTTTATATAATTTATATGTAATAATTAAATTATATAAATAATTTATATACCATATGTTTTATATAAATAAAATATTTATTATATATATTAATTTCCTAAAATAATCAATTGGTCGAATTCAATTCAAATATTTGAATATTTAATCAAATTCAAATTTAAATATTAATTTTCAATATCCATTGAATATCGGGCTTTTTATTTGAATTTGAATTCATATATTATATGGTCTCATTCAAATTTGATCCGTTTATACCCCCACGTGACATAGGACCTATCTATGGATGGTTTGAATGGCAAGAAATTGTGGTTGATTGCTAAAACAACGCAAGCGACCAATAGTTCTCACAAAACCGGCATTCAATGGTCGGTGGTCTTATAATTATGGGGTGAATGCTCCCCTGCTACTACACCAGCATCCAATACTTCTAATACTTCTTGGAAAACTGACCATTTCGATGTGAATGGTCGGTGGTATTTAATGTTGAAAAATCTCCTTTTTTTTTCTGTAAAGATCGGTGTTCTTTATACAATTTCAAACTCTGAAGGTTGGTGATCAGAAAAACATATCGGATTTTTCTAAACTTGTAAACGTCGATGCTCCGTCACTATCAAACCGATTGAAGCAATCAAGCCGATTCAAGTTTCAAGAATACATTTTGTAGGAAATAGTTTTCTCCGGTTGAAAAAAAAAAAAAAACATAATAGCAGGAAGGAAATTGAGTATGTCATGATTTCTGATAGTAGCATGAAAGTGGGAAACTCAAAAGTCGACAATGTACGTCTCATATAATGAGAGAGGGAGGAATAAATTCTTTAAGAGAAGATTTGAAAAATAAAATAAAACTTATTTTTAAATTGCAGTTAGAAATAAAAGAAAAGCAACTGGTTAAATCCTTGAAAGATCCAAAAACCCAACTGGAAATAGCAAAGTTCCAAACAAAGTTGGAAAAAGAAATACGCGTTGAGATTTCCAGTGCATTTTGGCTTATTAAAAGGCATGGAGTAAGCCTTCTTTATGAGGAAGAGTTTAATGAAACAAAAATTCTCACTAAAGTCATACCAATTCAGATGAATAGTAGATTATTAGATATTTATAAGAAATAAATTCAATAACTATTAGCAAAAGGTCTAATTGGACCAAGTAAGTCCCCTTGGAGCTGCCTCTAATAAACAGGTTATATGACAGAAATATTTTCTAAATTCGACCTAAAATCAGGTATTAGCAAATCCAAATAAATTGTTTCTTTTGAGGCACTATGAATGGAATGTTATGCCTTTCAAATAAAAAAATGGCCCATCTGAATTACAGAGAATTATGAATGAGATTTTTATTCTTTATACTCAATTCATTATAGTCTATATAAACGATGTATTAGTATACTCTATGTCTTTGAAATCTCATTGGAAACACTTCAATATATTTCTAAAAATCATGAGAGAAAATGGCTTGCCTGCTTCAACTAAGAATATGAAACTGTTTTAAATAGAAGTAAGATTTTTGGGATATCAAATATCCAATGGGAAAATAACCCTTATTCAAAGAGTGATAGAGTTTATAGGTAAATTTCCTAATGAAATTAAGGATAGAACCCAACTCCAAAGATTTTTAAGTAGTCTTAACTATGTAGCAGACTACTACAAAGACTTGGCTAGAGACCGACAACTTATCTAAAAAAGACTAAAGAAAAATCATCTAAAGTGAAATGATCAGTTCACTCAAATAATGAGAAGAATAAAGTAGAGGGTAAAAACCTTTTCATTTCTCAATATCCCTCGTCTAGAAATCCCCAAGATTGTGGAAACCGATGCGCGAAATTGGATATGGAGGAATCTTAAAGCAACATAAGAATGGAAAAGATGAAATCATTTGTTTCACCTCTAGAACCTAGAAAAAAAACATTATATTGTCAAAAATGAGATGCTAAGCATTGCTTTATGCATTTCAAAATTTAAAGGAGATTTGATAAATCAACATTTTACATTTTACTTTGCAAATTGATTGTAAATCTGAAAAAGAAATTCTTGAAAATGACATTAAAAATTTGGTTTCAAAATAGATTTTTGTTAGATGGCAAGCTATCTTATCAATTTCTGATTTTGAAATTAAGTATATTAAAGGATCTGGCAATGCTTTGCTAGACTTTTTGACCAAGGAATTCCTCCAAGGAAATCTAATTAAAGACTTCTTGCCAAACTTTTTAATATTAATTTTTTATTATTTGAATAAAATTTAAATTGAATAATACAGAAAATCATAATTTATATATCATTAGTACATAATGATTTTACAAAAATATAAAATTATTAATAATACAAATATCATTAAATATATTAGAATGATTTTTTTTGTGTTGTAATAAATATCTTAAATTTATTATATAATTTTGCGAGAATATTTAAATAATTTTTAATTTAAAATTTCTTTATATAGATATAGATAAAAAGTGGGAGAGAGGATAGATAGGAATTAGAGATAATTTAGGAGAGAAACCCTCTACTAAAATAGAGATAATTTTGGAAAGAAACTCTATTAGAAATAATTTATTTACAGCAAAAAAATAGAGATAATTTAGGTGATAAATAAGCATTAGATATAATTTAAAAGATAAATAAGAATTAGAGATAATTTAGGAGAAAGTGGGATGGTAGTTTAGGAAAAATTTTAGGAGATCATCTCATTAGTATAATTTAGGTGATAAATTAAAAAATACCTAACAAAAATTAATCAAAACTAAAACTACTTTCAATTGAGAATTAGCATAGCCCCGTACATGACACAGTCCCATTTTTTTAAAAGTGCTTTTTTTAACCCGGAAAACCTAATGTAAAAAGTCGCCTACTTCAACTTGCTTCTGCTAGTTTGCCAATAAAGATCTACTTGTTTAAAGAAAGAAAAGGACCATCTTCGCATCTTTACATTCGGCAAATCGGTCGATCGGCAGCATTAGGTTGGGTCTCCTGCAGTGGCGGTGGTTGTGATAACATGATGGCGCCACCGGCGGGTGAGGGAGGAGCAGCGCAGACAAGAGGGCCAGGTCGAGGGCAAGCGCAACAGCAGCAGCCAGGGTTTGGGCAGACGCTGACGGGAATAATTAGGATCGCTGTGTTTTGGTACTTCGCTTCCAAATTCTTCTCTCCCAAGCGAGGACCCTCTGAGCCATCTCAGCTGATGTCAAATCTCTTCAACAAGGCTGAACCCTTGGTTAGTCTTTCTCTCGCTCTGTTCACACTCTTTACACTGACCCTCTTCTATCAAGAGAGTAAAAGGGAAATTAGGTTTCTCAGACCCTAATATCTATATGAATCCTTATGTTTGGTTATTTTTCTTGTAGAAGTATTATGGTGATATTTAGTTATTGTAGTAGAGGCCTTATTCTCTACTTCAACAGTTCATCAGTTCAATACATGAATCGTATTTTTACCTTCAGTTTGCATTGTCTGTGCTAACAAATCAGCTACGATCTTCTATGGGACAAAAACCACGTAAATACGTTTGCAATTTAATACAGTATTACTGTAGAAGCTTGGCTTTTTGCAAGAATTAGTTGAAACTTGAATAATTGGAATGGCGCCCGATTGTTTGGAAGGGTATTTGAACTAAGTTATAATACAGATCGGATATTGCAACTCTGAAACTAAAATATAAAATGTCAAAATGATGCATTTCAGATGCTTTTATTGGGTCGTTGGTAGCTTGTGAATGCAAGCACCTTGCTTTATATGGCCAGACACCCCATATCTAGCTATATAACCATTTTATGTTTTTTCAAGTTTCACCGAATAGTGTCTATAGCTCAAAATAGTCATTATTGTTTTAATCGCAGTTCATCAACTGCCTAGAGAACCCAGGAACTATGGTTTTCTTTAATTATTTAACAATTTAGGCAAATTTTCCTTTGTCTTTACATAACAAAAGGTATCTTGTTTTTTTGGTTCCATATGGTTATAGCATAAATTGATTGCCATTCTCTTGGATCAACGTGGGTTTGCTTTGTGTTTTCATATTAACTTTTTTTTTTAATTGAAATATTCATGTTTTTTTCTTTATGGTTATGTTCTTCTTCCTTGATTTCTTATCATAGTTATACATCAAACTATATATTGATTATTCTATTTGTAACAGGACATGTGGGTTTATCTATCTGAAAATGAAAAGTTTAATGACTTCACTAATGAGGGTGCACTCATTTGGCATGAGGCAAATATTCCATATGCTGTTTGGGGGCCAGGTTCTAGTAGGTTCTATTCCTTGAAGTATGTCCCATCAGAGGTATTGGCAAAAAATGCTGCAACTGATGTTATCTATAAACTTCCATATATTTCTTCTTTCCTCTTTATGTTTTTGTTTTTCCTTTTGATTTCATAAAAGTGGCATGTCAACATAGTTGAGTGGCTCAGTTATCTTATCAATTGTGTTTCTTCTAAAATGATGAATGCCGTGTCATTTGTTGTAGGCTGTGAAAAACAACGGGAGTCTCTATGCTCATGCTTTCTTTGCACGTTCTGGTTATCCTCCAGACCCCAAGGATCCTGAGTATCAGCCTTATGCTGCCTTTGGGAGGACACATTGTATGTATTCCTTTAAATGGTCACTTGTTCCTTTTAGTAATTAATAGCAATCATATTGCATTATCATTTAATACACACTCATAAATTCATCCCCCTTGGTTTCAGCTGTTGTGACATACTTACCTAAGTCAAAAGCTGATAAAAGGAAAAGTTTGTTAGGGAATTCCAAAGGCTCTGAAGAAGTTGAAGTACCTCCTGAGGTTTGTTTTATGTTTTATTTTTATACACATGGTGGTTACTGTCTGTTTGATACTTTTGCTACAAATGCATTTAATATTTTTGTTTTATGTGCATACTGAGTTCATTAATATTTTTGATTGATTAACTTATGGCCGGATTTTAAATTAGAGGAAAAAAGGTTAGGGTTTAAACATGTTCCCTGTCATTTTTTCATGAATATGAATTTCAGTCTGGGTAATACTGATCCAAAAATTTTCTATTTGGGTAGTGATTGGCAAATTCCTCTTTCCAATATTCAGGGAATAGCCCTGTTTAAAGTGTTTTTATGAAAAGATAAAAGAGCATGGTTTTATGGCAATCCCAAGGTAGTGGTTACCTTGCTGGAATACAGTAAACAAGGATCTTGGAAATACTGTTAGTACTTAAAATAAATAAGAACTCTAGAAGTAGAACTGGAAAGATCTCCAATTGTTATTACCTAAACTCCAGACTTCTGTTGGGAAGTGTTTCTTGGCAAGATCAACACCTGTAATGTACTCCAAGAAAAGAAGTCCAAATAAGTGCCTTTCTCCTTAAATTTGCATTCTTTGCAAAGCAAGCAATGAGACTACCTACTTACTAATCGCCTGCTCTTTTGTGAATTGTATTTGGAGGAAGGTTTGCTCCCTCTTCAGTTGTAGGTTAGAAGAACCCCAAAATGTGGCAAGCTTGTTTAGTCCTAACTTCTTGAGGCACCCTGAAAAAAGAGGTAGAATACTGTGGAGGGCAGCAAGAGCAGCAATATTATGGGTTGTGAGGGAAGAGAGGAATGGAAGAATTTTCAAAGAAAAATGCAACGCTGTGGAGGAGATAGTTTAACATATAAAGATAAAAGTTGCATAACGGGTTAAAACTTTGGAGGACTATGATGAATACTCAGTTGATGATGTGCTGAGAGCTTGGGGTGACGTGGCACACTCTTAAAAAGAAAAAGATAAGGCTATTGTGGAGTGGAAACCACTGGTAGCTCCAAAGGTGAAGCTGAGCTTTGATGGAAGCTCCACGGGCAATCTGGGCCTGACAATAATCAGGGAATTTTTAGGGATGTAGATGTTGCAGTCAGGGCATTGTATTTAGGTCCAATTGGAGTTGGTGATTCTATTAAATCTGAGACAATGGCACTATTGTTGGGGCTGAGAATAGTTCAACAATTGGGGGTCCTTCAATTGGAATTGGAGGAGACTCCAAACTAGTCATTTTTGGCTAAGGAACATTACTTCAGGAGCATGGCCATATGGATAAACGCTAAGGGAACTTGGTACATTGGCTATGAAAGTTGGAGCTACTTTTAATTGGGTAAAAAGAGCAGCAAATGGTATGGCAGATTCTTTGGCCAAGCAAGGAGTCAATAGGGATCAACTCTTTTGGGATGAATTGTAATTGGGAAGGCATACACAAAAAGAGTGTCTGGGAAAATTCCAGCTTCTTTGTAATTATTTTATGTTAAGTTAATAAAATCTCTTATTGCTGATAGAAGAAAGAACTGGAAGTCCAGTGGACTTTTAGGTCAGCAAATGCTTTAGTTGAAGCCATGGCTAGACAAGGGGTAAATAGGGAACAATTGTAATTGGTCATTTTATAATAAGGTCTGTAATGCAAGGCAGGGAAAAGGTGGCACTCACCAGCCTCACTGACAGGGTGCTTTGACAGATCATGCATTATATGTAACTAAGTCTTTTCTACCAATTAATAAAATTCATGTTACCCATCAAAAAAGGAGATAGATCAGAATAAATGGCATTGAGTCAAATGGAAACCTTTAAATCACCAGGAACTAAAGATCAACTTTGATGCATTGAGAGGCAGTACTGCAGGAAGCAACTGTGGGTTGTGTTGCAAGAAATTAGTATGGAGAAACAATCAAATGGAAGTCAAAGCAATTAAGAAAAAACATAATAAATGTTGTAGAAGCATGGGTGGCTAGAGAAGCTCATATAATGGTCAAGGAAAGTGTATGTACAAGGATTTGGATTGAGGGGAACTCAAGAATCGCCATCAATTGCCTAAACAAGAAGGCTTATTCACCTTGGAACATCAACATTATCAAGGATTTGGTTGAATCTGGTCTCCCTTTTTTTTTGATAATTGAAATAATTTTATTAATCAGCAATAGACAATAGTACAAAGTCCCCAAGGAAAGGCACGAGTTGCAACCTCTCCGGGCTAGTTAAGTACAGATTTCCAAATTAATAACAACTTACATAGAAGCACAAAAAAGATCTTCCCTATAAACCCCCTGTTTGGCTAAA